TCTTGAGCAGGCGCGCTCTTATTATTTCCTTGTAATTTCAGTGCTGTGATAATAGTTTTTTAATTGCTCAATTAACTAAATTGTCGATATACTAAATTCACATTTTATTTTAGGATATATATATATATATATTTCCCTGTACTTTAAATTTCCATTTTTTAGGCAATACTTGTCAAAGCAAACTTTAAATTCCCATTTTTTAGGCAATACTTGTCAAAGCAACTAACTAATTACCAACGGTCTTGAATTTATCGGACACCCACATGTTAGTGGCGGGTCTAACTCTTATATTGCAAACATAATAAATCTCTGACACATAATCGGATGTTTAAGAATGTTATAGTGATTTTTTAAAAAAATATTTTTTATTTATAAATATATTAAAATAATATTTTTTATTTTTTTAAAAAAACCAGCATCTTAAAATAATCCTGAAATATATATAAATTAATGTTAATATTAAATTATATATTTTGTTTTTTTGCTTTCCACGTTAATATTCTAAGACGTCTGTAAATTATCAAAAAAATTTATTTTAAAATATTAATATCGTATGAACATGATTTGCCATGCTTACGTAAAATTAACCTGGCCGTGTCGTGACACAAGCCATTTATCTATATGTGTGTGTGGGGTTAGCAAGGAAGAAGTGGTTGAACAACCAGTAGCGATTTCCTTTTTCTAGTTTTAATGCTTATTCTTGATTAAATTACATGCAACTAAAATAAATATTATGATGGTTGAATTTTAAATAAATAAACTAAGTTTAATCGTAACAAATTTTAAATATCTCATTTGTATCAAAACCAGTATATTTGTAAAAAAGTTATATCTTTATCAAATTATATTAACAATAAAAAATAAATTAAAAAGAGAAATAGCAATATCCACAAGTTTATATTTGATGGTGTGGTATACAGTGTTTTTAAAAATATTTTCTACTTGGTGTATTAATATTATTTTTAGATTTTTTATTTTTAATATCACCGAATAAAAACCATAAAAAAATTTTAAAAAATTAATTTAATATTTTTTAAAAATAAAATACACCCAATAAAAACAATGGTTGTCATGCTTCCAACTACTCACTCACTATCCGAACAGAACCACCAGTATCAGACGAAGCTTATAAACTGGCAAAGCTTTGTATTTTGACTCGAGTTTCTATGCTGGAGCCGACTGGCTCATGTAAGGCAAGGCGCGGCCGGTTCTTGGCTCTATCTCCTTGAAAACCAATGTGAATATTCCAGTCAGATTCCAAAACTTCATTACATTCTCGTTCCCGCGAAACCTGGAATACGATATTTACAATCGAGAAACGAATCGTATCACGATATATTTGGTGGGTATTTGGTCACCTACCAGCCATCCGTTTTCTTACGCAGCAAGGTTTCTGCCACGTGGATACTTCTGTATTGTCCACGCACGTGCTCGATTAAAATATCCTATTAACTGCCCCCGTTTTGCTAGGTAATTGATTTACCAATCAGATAGCGACATGTCACTCCTTTGTATGATTTTGGGGCAAAATAAAGTATGACCCCCACGGTCAACCTGTCGAGTAGGGTTCCATCTGGTCCTTCGGCTACTACTAACTGATGCAATGTTACCCTGTTTTTTTCAGGAGGTTGAGCCTGAGTATTTTAAAAAAATATACATGAATGACTTGTGCATTGAATTGCAATTAATGGAATAACTATTTAGTTAATGATATTTAAATTGCTGGATAGGCAGGGAAATACAAAACTAGATGGGAAGAAAGATGCCCTTTATCAGATTTTAAATTCTATTTTTTATTTTATAACCTATGATTTAATTCAAACCGACCACATAAATAATTACGCAATTCCACAGCTTGACAAGTCATTTTGACTGATTTGCCATGTTGTAATTTTATAATCGACCACGGCGGAACAAGTCCGAAGCACTCAACGAAATTGTTAGCTACAATGACATTTTCAAGCTGTTGACTATCTTTTAATTGGTTCTTCGGGGTCCAAATTAAAAGTAATTTCAATAGTTGTGTGATATATTTTTCATATTTTATTATAATCATAGCAATATTTTAATAAGTATTTCAAAAGCAAAGGAGAAGAAAATGAAAAAAAGGAAAGAAGTCCGCATGCCTGCACACACAAGCATATTCCAAGGACCATGCTCTTGCATGCATGATTACATATACCCGTGCTTGCAAGATTTGATTGGATTAAGGTTTCAAGTTGGCTTAGTAAAAAATAACATAGTATCAATAATTTTTTTTAAAAAATAAAATTATATTATTTTTTGATAAAAAATTAAAATTAACCTAGTTAAATATTATCCAAAATTTTATCAAATCAACAAGTCACTAACCAAATCATTGATCTTGACTGGTCAAATTTTAAGATGGTTCGAAAAAAAAAGAAGCGCACACAAGGTTCTATACAAGTATATCACTGGAACCATCTGTAGATCAGACTATATATAACAGCTACGTCCATGCCATTTTCGTCGCAAGCTAATAAATGAAAGAAATACCATGAGCTAGCGAAATAAAATTGTTAGTGATCATAGTTTCATGGCAAGAAAAAAAATCTGGAAAAATTAAACCACATGATCCAACTTTCAGAAACCAAATCAACCGGCATCTGCGAGGGAATCTTGCTATCACCAAATTTCCATGTACGCTTTTGTCTTTAAGCCTCGTTCCTGACGTGGTGTGCAGCAATATCCCTTTAAATTAACATATTAATGATGATAAATCTACTAACAATTCGAGCCACACAACCGCTAAAGTGAGGTGCTAGGTTTACTGTTCGTATGAACAGTAACCACGCACCTCGTGTATTTCTGTTTTTAGTACAATAAAATAATGACCAAGCATGGATTTATAATCAAACATTCGTTCATGAAAAAAAAAAAGGTATGTAGTCAAACAAGTCCAGAAGGTGCTGCCTACAATGGGGGACAATCAGACAACCTATTTTTATGTATTAGCTTAACAGACAGAGGGGGGGGCGGGGGGGGGGGGGGGGGTTGGTTGCCTGGTATCTTATAATATAAGCAGAACCTATGAGTTGGACCGTTGGATCTTGGATCATGGCTTCCTCATCAAGAATAGAAATCACACTCTACCAGTCAACGTCGGCAATATTATTTTTCTCACACGGAACGGGCTGGCACTCCTTGACCAGTGCAGGTTTCTTGCGGGAGAGGCAAGAATGATTCCCACCCCAACAAGTTGCTGATAAAAGCATCTCCTTAATTAGTCAACAGATTGATGCTAACGTCCACAGAGAAATTCCTAGTTGCTACTGCTGAAGTGAACAGCTTGACATCCTGGCTGCCTTAGACAGCACGAAAAAGAAAAGCTATTAATGGGTCCAGCCAGCAGGCTGAATTTGCTAGAGCCGCAACACCGCCAAGGAAACCAGCTAACATGAAGGATTAGTGAGGTGACCGATCCAGTCCTCGTACTGGGCTTTAAAACTCTCATAGCCCAGCTCTCTCCTGTCTAATTTCTTTACGCTCTAGCTACCAGTCAACATCGGCATCTCACACCAACAAGCTGCTAATCTGTGACCTCATAGAAAACGCAATATTTATACAGTCAAATAACAAGACGTCTTATTTAACTCCTTAATCAACTTTAAGAAAAAAAATTCTCATAAATCCATTACTTCCAGCGTGCACAGTTTGCTTTTTACTGGGTCAGAAGGATAATTGGACGCAAGATTTGGCTGCAAATACCTCCAGCTGTGGGGAAAATAAAAAAATGCATATACCTCCAGCTCCTCCTGATTTTCACAAAGCCGAGTCTACAGAGATGAAGAGAAGAACTAAATAAGGCCCTTCTTTATTGATGGATCAAGCCAGAAGGCTGAATTTGCCTGCAGCGCATAATACCATGGATAGACTATTAGTTTCAAAACATATTAATATTTAATTTATTTAAGAATATATTAAAATAATATATTTTTTATTTTTTAAAAATTATTTTTGATAACATCATATTAAAAAAATCTAAATATAAAAAAAATAAATTTAAATAATTTCTTAAAAATATTTTAAAAATATAGTTTCAATCGTATTCCCAAATATAATATAATACCTTAATACATATGGGATTTTTTTTTCAACTATATTGTAATAAGGTCTGAATTAACTCATAGGTTATTAAATTAACATGGATGATATTTTTATTAAAAAATATTATTTTGTTTTTCTGAATTTCTTGACATTGCACTAGATAATCTGATTATCATTAAATCGATTTCTTTTTCAATCAATTTAAAACTGAATTCAGATGGAATTCCGAGAAACAACTTATAAAACCAAATTTAACAGCGATCCTTAAAAGTTGGTGCACTTCTTCGAGATAAGCTCTCACTCGGCACCTCCAAGGTTCAGCGGCCATTCAAGCCATTGACGTAGCAAAGCTGATGCCATCCTAAACAGTACACGCACCCCATTACGTGTCTTCCATCGCAACTATAACCTTTGCATGCAACAACGTTTTCACTAAATTCCTCAAACACCCTTGCTCCTTTCCCATAATTTCCATCAAGCCAGAATAAATTCACCACCTTATTTAGAAATTACCATCACATGGATAGAGTCACTAAAGCAAAAACGGGTTTTTGTTGATTCAGGTATTGGTATAATCTAACATAGTTAATCTTAAGTTGTAAAGAACTAATTGTGAAAAACCCAGTAAAAAAAACTCATAAATATATTATCTAATAATTATTTTATATAAATCAAATTATAAAAATATGATGGAAATAAATTTATTGATTAAAAAATCGATATAAACGTGATATAATTAATCTTAAATTGTAAATAATAACAACGCACCTGAATAGATTACTTACTGAATTATTTGATTTATTTTTATTTTTAGATCTTATTGTACTTTTTATATTATTATTATTTGCTGCTCATTTATATCACATGATTAACAAGGATAAGACAGTAATTAGAATAGCCACATCAAGAAACTGAAAAAGAAACGTCAAATTTCCTTGCATTACACCAGAGCCCTCCAAGAGCAAGAAAATCAAGAAATCAACAAGAAGATATGATCCATAAAACCCCAGCTCTAACATGCACTGCGATCCTCACACTACTCCTAACCTTTTCACCAGTAACAGTTTCAGTAACTGATCTCTATGACAACCCACAGGACCCAACAATCCTCCAAGTCACAGACAATCCTACCCTTAACAACAGGAAGTTCATGAAAAATGGTCTTAACCTTCTGGGAACTGAAGAGAAGTTCAAGATGTTTATAAAAGAGCACAACAAAGAATATGCAACTAGAGAAGAGTACGTGCACCGCTTTGGGATCTTCGGCGAGAACTTGATCAGAGCTGTTGAGCATCAGGCACTGGACCCCACTGCAATTCATGGGGTCACTCCGTTTATGGACTTGACCGAGGAGGAATTCGAGAGAATGTATGCTGGTGTTTTGGGTGGAGGTACTGTACCAGTGGAGAAAGGTTCTGTTTCTTTCATGGATGCAAGTGGTTTGCCTGATAGTTTTGACTGGAGAGAGAAAGGGGCTGTCACTGATGTCAAGATGCAGGTACAGTTTCTACTAGATTGGAGGGCTAATTTTCTAAATTTTATTTAGCAGCGCTGGAAAGGGCTAGGGAGATGTGCAAATTCATAGTTTCTACATTTGTTTATGTGCTTGTGGGTCTAATGCAGGGTTCTTGTGGATCATGCTGGGCTTTTAGTACCACTGGATCCGTTGAAGGAGCAAATTTTATTGCAACAGGGAAGCTTCTCAATCTCAGTGAACAACAGCTTGTTGATTGTGACAGGGTGGTTAGTTTCCGATTCGCCCTTTCAATCTCTTATTCTGATCACCTAGATACCATCACAGCCAGCACCAATAATTTTGGTTTCCATACATCACCTCAATTTGAAGAGGTTTTATCATATAGATCAAGGCCTGAAAGCTCTATTATATATGTTTGGTCATTTCCTTGGATTTTTGCGCAGTGTGATAAGACAGACAAGGCTTCATGCGACGATGGTTGCGGTGGAGGACTCATGACCAATGCCTACAGGTATTTGATTGAAGCAGGGGGGTTACAAGAGGAGAGTTCATACCCTTATACAGGTAAAAGTGGCGAATGCAAGTTTGATCCTGAGAAGATAGCTGTAAAAGTTGCTAATTTCACCAATATCTCTGTTGACGAGAACCAAATTGCGGCAAATTTAGTTCACCATGGACCTCTTGCAAGTGAGTTGCCTTCTATCATGAAGAGCAGCATATATGGATACATATGGTTTCGTCTTCCATTACATTATATCATCGATTGCGACATTACATCGTATTTGTCATTTGTATGTCGTAGTCAGCGATAGCCTATACTGATAAACATTTTATCTGGGAAAATGCAGTTGGATTGAATGCAATATTCATGCAAACTTATATCGGGGGAGTCTCGTGCCCACTTATTTGCGGCAAGAAATGGCTCAACCATGGTGTTCTGCTTGTCGGGTATGGTGCAAGAGGCTACTCCATTCTTAGATTTGGCTACAAGCCGTATTGGATCATCAAGAACTCATGGGGAAAGCATTGGGGAGAGAAGGGATATTACCGGCTTTGCAGGGGACATGGTATGTGTGGCATGGACAAGATGGTCTCTGCAGTGGTAACCAAGGTTGCCTAAATATACCCGTGCAAGCCGAACCAAAGTGACGAAAGAAGAAGAATAAAGATTAAACTTGGTCTGTCAAATCTAGTTAAAGTCTAGCTAGCTACTTGTTATTTTGCTAGTTAAAAAGGATACCCATGAGTGTACACGGGTTATGGATTATGCACTACGTAATCAAAATACCATGCTTTGCCTATTGGTTTCCTCACTAAGCTTGAGTAGTTTTGGACCTACCAAGAAACTGTTGAAAAATATATTATTTCATTTCAGAAACGCAGAGAAAAAATAGAGTTTGGATAAAAAAACCCATTGTCTAAGCAGTTGCCAACATTTGTTCAGTAAACGCGATCCTTTGGGCAAATGGCCAAGCAATATCTCGCTGTCAGCTTCAACTGCAAGCAATGTTATAAATTTATCTTGGGAAACAAAAGACAATGTAGTTTACTGTAGAATAGAAGGGAGAAATTAGTCAGGTCATTGTCCTTTGGTTTTAGAGTGCAGGAGTATCTTGTCCCCTCTTTCTCTCTCTAGATTTTTGACTTGCTCTTTTTTCACGCTTCTCCTTGTCCAGAACCATCTTCTTGCTGGCCGGACAGAGGATTTTCTTTGATTCAATCATAAAATTTGACCCTCAGAAACTTCAAGTTGTTTTCGATGTTTGACTGCAAGGAAGAAAATATTACCCGTCATCTTGAAGTCTTTGCACCTGGAAAAAAACGTCATGGCCAGCATCAATTCACGGAAACTATATATTACACCCTGGTGCCAATCAAAATGAGTACGACTTGAAGCATTACGGGCTGAAATTTTTCAAACTCTTAATCCTGAATTTTTTGACATTTTGTACTTGCCCTTTTGAATGAAGAAAACGACATGCATCCTTACTGGTTAAATTTTTCCACGCGCACGCAATCTGAATAGTATTTTATATGCTTGATTTGTTTGTTCTAATCATCATCATTAAAGAAAATATTTAAGAGAACTAATGTATGAACTTGCGAGTGCGTCCAAGCCTTCTATCCATCGTTTCCTCTATTTATTTACCAACGGCACAGCAAAGTTAGTTAACCATATCTTCTACAGCTGAGCTCTAGGGCGACATAAAATATGGAGGTTACAGGCATGAGTTCATTCACAGTCTGGCCACTCTTCTTTCTAATAATTCAACTCTCCTTTTCTTTCTCCTTAGCTCAAGGAAACGAGACAGATTTATTCTCCCTCCTAGCCTTTAAGCATCAGATTACTGATGACCCCTTAGGTAAACTGAGCTCATGGAATGAATCCACACACTTGATTCAGCATCGGAGAGTTGTCCAGCTTGACCTACAGTCTTGCAAGCTCTCGGGCAGCTTATCTCCTCACGTCGGCAACATGAGTTTCCTCAGGACATTGAACTTGGAAAACAACAGTTTCGGCCAGAATATCCCTCAGGAACTGGGTAGTTTGTTTCGGCTACAGGATTTGGTCCTCACAAACAATTCGTTCAGTGGTGAAATCCCTGCCAATATTTCGCGTTGCTCAAATCTCTTGAGCCTTGAATTAGAAGGCAACAATCTTACTGGCAAACTTCCTGCAGAATTTGGATCATTATCAAAGCTGAAGGCATTTCATTTCCCAAGGAACAATCTCTTTGGTGAGATTCCACCTGCTTATGGAAATCTTTCACACATCGAGGAAATTCATGGAGGACTGAATAATTTGCAAGGAGACATTCCAAAGAGTATCGGGAAATTGAAAAGATTGAAGCACTTCTCTTTTGGCACAAATAACCTGAGCGGTACAATCCCTGCCTCCATATACAATCTTTCATCCCTTACTCATTTCTCTGTGCCAGCAAACCAACTTCATGGGAGTCTTCCTCGTGACTGAGGCCTAACTCTTCCAAACCTTGAAATCTTTAGAATTCACACCTGCCAATTCAGTGGACTGATTCCAGTAACAATCTCCAATGTTTCTAATCTTTCTCTTCTTGATCTTGGACTCAACAGCTTTACTGGGCAAGTGCCTCCTTTAGCAGGGCTTCATAATCTACGGTTGCTGGCACTTGATTTCAATGATCTCGGAAATGGTGAGAATAACGATCTAAACTTTCTCTATCCCCTGGCAAACAACACCAGTTTGGAAATGATCGGTTTGAATTATAACTATTTAGGAGGCGCGCTGCCAGAAATAGTTAGCAACTTTTCATCAAAGCTTAGATTCATGACATTCGGAAACAACCAAATAAGCGGAAGCATTCCGAATGAGATCGGAAATCTAATAAGCCTGCAGAGTTTCGGTTTTGAGTCGAACAAACTGACTGGCATCATACCAACCTCTATTGGTAAGTTACAAAATTTAGTTGCTCTGGCTCTTAGCGAAAATAAAATTGCTGGGAATATACCATCTTCCCTTGGCAATAGTACCGCGTTGGTCTTGCTTTATTTGGACAAAAATAATTTGCAAGGAAGCATCCCGTCAAGTCTAGGAAATTGCCAGGATTTGTTGTCATTGGATCTCTCTCAAAACAATTTTAGCGGCCCCATACCACCGGAAGTAATTGGTATACCTTCCTTGTCAGTGAGTTTAGACCTATCTCAAAATCAGTTGATAGGCCCCCTTCCCTCCGAAGTTGGTATGTTGGTAAACCTAGGATATCTTGATGTTTCACATAATAGTTTATCAGGTGAGATTCCAGGAAGTCTTGGAAGCTGCGTTGTGTTGGAAAATTTGCTTTTGGAGGGGAACTTATTCAAAGGTTCTATTCCAAAGTCCATGAGCTCTTTGAGAGCACTTAAATATCTTAATATCTCTTACAACAACTTGACAGGCCAGATTCCGAGGTTTTTGGCAGACTTCAGGTTCTTGCAACACTTGGATCTGTCATTTAATCACCTTGAAGGCGAGATGCCTACACAAGGAGTTTTTGGGAATGCAAGTGCAGTCTCAGTTTTGGGAAACAATAAGCTTTGTGGAGGAATATCTCTGTTCAATTTATCCAGATGCATGTTGGAGGAGTCAAAAAAGCCGAAAACTTCTACCAAGCTGATGTTGTTAATTGCAATTCCGTGTGGTTGTCTAGGAGTATTTTGTGTGATCGCTTGTCTACATGTCTGCTGCTTTCGGAAAACAGTAGATAAGTCTGCTTCTGAAGCTTCTTGGGATATCTCATTGCGGAGAATCACATATGGAGAACTCTTTCAAGCAACTGATAGGTTCTCCTCATCCAATATAATTGGTGCAGGCAGTTTTGGGTCTGTGTACAGAGGAATTCTTGCATCAGATGGAGCAGTTGTTTCGGTCAAAGTATTCAACTTGCCATGTAAAGGAGCTTCCAAAAGCTTTATGACAGAATGTGCAGCCTCGATAAACGTCAAGCACCGGAACCTCGTCAAAGTCCTCGGCGTATGTGCTGGTGTTGATTTTGAAGGTAATGATTTTAAGGCTCTTGTTTATGAGTTTATGGTCAATGGGAGTCTAGAAGAGTGGTTGCATCCAGTTCATGTATCAAACGAGGCATGCGAGGCAAGAAATTTGAACCTTATTCAGAGGTTAAGTATTTCAATTGATGTGGCTGCTGCGTTCGACTATTTGCATCATGGTTGTCAAGTGCCTGTTGTCCATTGTGATCTGAAGCCTAGCAATGTTCTTCTTGATGGTGATATGATCTCTCATGTTGGTGATTTTGGACTAGCAAGGTTCAGTCCAGAAGCCTCCCATCAATCATCTTCAAATCAGAGTAGATCTGTTGGTATAAAAGGAACCGTTGGCTATGCAGCGCCAGGTAAAATTAGAATAATCTCCCATTATTTGGTTGATTGTAATTCTTCGTTTTTGGTTCCATTCTTAAGGTCACATATAGATATTTGGCACATGATTACATTTATTCCTGCCAAATTTCATAAACAACCACTGATATTTGCAACCATGAATGTGATTGCAGGGTATGGTATGGTATGGAGCGCAGGGTGTCAACTTACGGGGATGTGTACAGCTATGGAATCCTATTATTGGAGATGTTCACGGGAAAGAGACCAACACACGGCATGTTTAACGACGAGCTGAACCTTCACACTTACGCTGAAATGTCATTGCCTGACCGTGTAGTTGACGTTGTGGATCCCATACTTCTGAGAGAAGTCGGGGAAACAAGTTCTGATGCCTCTCGTAGGAAGCAAGATGCTAGAGCTCACAAGAATCTTCAATGTTTGACTTCAATAATCAACGTAGGAGTGGCTTGTTCTGCAGACCTCCCAAAAGAGAGGATGGCCATTAGCACTGTTGTGGCTGAATTGCATCGAATCAGGGACATTTTCCTAGGCGGTAAAGGGCATAAACACCACGAAATCGTTGTCTTACCAGAAGGTACAGTTGATACGTTATGCTAATCTATATTCAGACCAAGACTATTATATTAACGATATCCGTTATGCACTATTTAGGTGCCTGAGGCAATCAAAAGGGGGAACAAAAGCTGCCGTTCAAAAGGGAGTAGAGGTGCCCGTTTCTTCACAATTGCGGTCATGTAGACTGACATCGAAAATGCTTATGGTTTATCTGTAGTCTTTAGAATACTTTGTAAAATCTGTGTTTGCTCAAGGACTTGCTTATAAGTAGTCAAAGAGAGAACTTGTAATATAATTGTTATTAATAAACATGAACTAGATAATTGACCCGCGTTGCTTTACGAGCTGTATCATTTTTTTTTAATATAAAAAATATTAGAATATTACTAATACTTCTTTTTAATGAAAAAAATTAAACCTTGTGGATATTGATTCTATTAACTTTACAAATTTAAAAATAACTTGAATGATATTTGAAAACATGATTTAATTAATTTTGTTTCTTCAATATAATATTTTTAAAAAAAATATTAAGATAATAATAAATTAAATTAATTTGGATCAACTCAAATTAATATATTAAATTCATGATCTGAATTATAAGATTATAATAATTCCATATAAAAATAATTCAAAATAAATTATATATCCTAATTTCTAACCAACACAATATTAAAGGATGAAATTAAAAAAAATAAAAACAATCTAAAAAAATAAATTAAGTTAACTTTAAAGAAACTTATAATTTAGATTATAATAATTATCAAATTAGTTTAATGTTTGTTATTTTAGAATTTTTTAAAATGGGATATGCTGTATAGTTATACACTGAGCAAGAATTTGATCCAACATGCTGTTTCTATTTTTGAGGTCACATAATAATTGCTCCTCAATTATATATCTAGAAATGATTAAGTATAATTTAATCAACATATTTATTATATGCATATAGATATAAATTGAAATAGGTTTTGATTTTGATGAATTGACGTGTATTTGCAATGAATTTCATATAAAAAAATTAGAATTATTGTGTAACTCAATTGATTTTTATTTAATAATAAATTATTATGTAGTTGTGTTAATTATTATATAGATACTAATGATAATAAAAAAATTAAACATATTCTTATTGTCAAGAGTAGATTGCAGAATAAGATGAAGATAAGTGAATAAATGATAATTTGGTTATATACATTGAGAAAGATATCTTTGATAAAATTGATAATTAAGTTATTATGAAATTATTTTAAAATATAAAAACTCAAAAAGAACAATTATAATATAAATTTTTTAAATTTAAAAATATTTTTTAAAATTAATTTTACTTGATATGAATTAGTATATATATTTTGAATTGATTTCTAATGCATATCTATATAATATAATATTTGTTAATAATTTATCTTTTTATTGAAAAAACTCTGGCTTCACTACTGTATGGAAGTCAAAAATCTAAATAAAGTCCCGTTTGGTGGATCATCGATGTTATTATCTATTTGGAGTAGTTTTTTAAATTATTTTTTATTTAAAAATATATTAAAATAATATTTTTTATTTTTTAAAAATTATTTTTAATATAGAATATCAAAACTATCTAACCATATAAAAAATAATTAAAAAATTTCAATTTTTTTTTAACAAACATCTTTGAAACACAAAATCAATGGCTTCCGTAACCATTTATAAGAGTGGTTTGACCAGTCATTTTCCATACCAATCACTGTAGTAGTGGAGTACCTTGACCTATGTTTTTTTTTTTTTTGTTTTTGTGGGGGTTTACCTAAACCTTTTCTTTTATTTGTAATCCAGAAGAAACCATTAGAGTTATTAAACCCATCCATCCTGGAGGGTCGAGCCCATGCAAGCCGAACCAAAGGGAAGAAAGAAGAAGAAAATAAAGATTAAACTTGGTCTGCTAAATTTGGTTAAGTCTAGCTAGCTATTTGTTGATTTGCTACTTACAAACGACAGCCATGAGCATAAACAGGTTATGAATTGTGCACTACGTAATCAAAATAAACAGGTAAGAGTAATCAAAATCAGAATTATGCACTACGTAGTAGCTGGAAAAAACCAAGAAGCCAGCACATACCAAATCAAACCCAAACGATCCAGAAGTATCTGCACCTCTAAAAAAACAGTAGCATGTTAAAAAAACTATAATTTTAAAATATAATTTATATTATTTTTTAATATATATTTTTTATATTTAAAATTTTTACGGATTTGTATTATTTTATATTTAATTTTTTATTAAATAAAAAAATAATAAGATTTTAATTTGTGACTGTTTGATCATTAAAATTTTAATACCATTTAAAAAAAATTAATCTAATAATTTAAATTATTAAATAATTTTTAAAATAGAATTTATATTATATTTTTCTTTAAAAAAAACACACGCGCTATACATTTTAGGACCGAACAAATTGAAGACGACCCACCACACTGTGGGCTCAAACTTTTCAAAGGTGAGTTCTGTATATTGTGTTGACATTTTGTTACATGTTCACTTGCGACTTTGAATGGACAGAACACGCCTGCATCATTACATGCTCTAGTTTTCCACCAAATGAACATGCATGCGATCTGAGTTGTTGACATCAACTGAGAAGTTGCAACACAAACCAAAGATACAATCTTTACCAAAGATAAGGAGTTGTATTAGCATTTGATTTTTTATTTTGGTTTCGGTTACTTGAATTAAAAAAACTAAAACCAAATACAAACCAAAATATTGTTCAGTTTTTAGAATGAATAAAATTGATTTTTGACCCATCTTTCGGTGAAAATTTGATTTTTTTTTTAAATATAAAAATTAACGTTACGATTCTTGGCTGCTCGAATACCCCTTTTTTTTAATGAATTAGATTTTTAATTTTCATTTGATATGTTAAAGGCCAAGTTTATTTCAAAGTTTCAATCAATTACAAAATAATATCAAATATCTAAATCAAATAACATACCCATAAATTATAAACTTATAATTTATTTAGCAATCAACCCCAAACAATAAATAAATAAGTAAAAGGTGATGGTAGTCGCTGCAAGTGGAGACCTGCGTGGAGTGTGGATTTGCGTCATTAATAGCGCGGTCCGTGCAATAGTTTATTAATTTCTCCTTTATTATTATTATTATTTGACTAAGACAATTCTCTAACACAGTTCTCTAATTTATATTTACACTACAATCCATGTCTTACTGTACAACACCTGTCACAAGTCACAAGTCGCAAGACAAGTAACTTGCACTACTTTTGTTGACTCGTAAGTTTACTTGCTCATGACTTTGAATATTCGTAACTGAACAATGTTTTCTGTCCGAACAAATCCTAAGCCTCCATCCATCCTTTTCCTACATATTTGTATCAACAGAGGAACTCTGCAAGCCACATCTTCATCACTAAAATCTCTAGATCAAATTAAAATTGAAGTTACCCAGCATGAGTTCGTGCATGTTTTGGCTTCTTTTCCTGCAAATAATGCATCTGATCTCTTCTTCCTTCTCATTATCTGGAGGAGGAACAGATAGGCTCTCCCTGTTAGCTTTTAAGGCTCAAATTACTGATGACCCCCTCGGTGCACTCAGCTCGTGGAATGAATCCTTGCATTTCTGTGAGTGGTCAGGCGCTAAATGTGGACGCCGGCATCAGAGAGTTGTAGAACTTGACCTCCACTCTTGCAAGCTGGCGGGTTCCCTCTCTCCTCACATTGGCAACCTGAGTTTTCTTAGGATACTAGACCTGAGCAACAACAGCTTCAGCCAAAATATTCCACAGGAGTTGGGTCGTCTGCTTCGTCTACAGCAGTTGAACCTCGAAAACAACACATTCAGCGGTGAAATCCCTGCCAATATCTCGAATTGCTCTAATCTTCAGTTGATTGATTTACAGGGAAACAACTTGATTGGCAAAATTCCTGCAGAACTGGGGTCGTTATTAAATCTGCAAGCATGTCTTTTAGCAACTAATCATCTAGTTGGCGAGATACCGCTTTCTTTTGAAAATCTCTCGTCTGTTGAGATTATTGGTGTGGGGGATAATCATTTGCAAGGAAGCATTCCCTATGGTATCGGGAAATTGAAAAGGTTAAGAAAATTGTCTGTTCCCTTAAATAATCTGAGTGGTACAATTCCCCCGTCCATATACAATCTCTCTTCTCTTACACTTTTCTCTGTGGCGATTAACCAATTTCATGGGAGTCTTCCTTCTGACTTTGGCCAAAAGCTTCCAAGCCTCGAAGTGCTTGTATTCTATGCCAACCGATTCAACGGACCGATACCCGTAACGATCTCCAATGCCTCAACTCTTTCTGTTATTGATTTCGGAAACAACAGCTTTACTGGGATAGTGCCCCCATTTGCAAACCTGCCTCATCTACAGTATCTTGGTATTGATTCCAATGAACTTGGAAATGGGGAGGAAGGTGATCTCAGTTTTCTCAAGAGCCTTGCAAACTACACCAATTTGGAAGAATTGGGTATGAGTGATAACAATTTAGGAGGAATGTTTCCAGAAATAATCAGCAACTTCTCATCACAGTTCACAACATTGTCCATGGGAAGAAATCAAGTGCGGGGAAGCATTCCAGTTGATATTGGAAACCTCATCAGCCTGGATACTTTGATGTTGGAAACAAATCAATTGACTGGCGTTATACCAACTTCCATTGGTAAATTAAAAAATTTGCACGGTCTAACCCTCATTGAAAACAAAATCTCTGGAAGTATCCCTTCATCTTTGGGCAATGTTACTTCATTGGTCGAACTTTATTTATCCGCGAATATTTTGCAAGGAGGCATCCCATCAAGTCTTGCAAACTGCCAAAATTTGATGTCTTTAGAGCTTGCTCAAAACAATTTGAGTGGTCCATTAACCAAAGAAGTAATTGGTATGGCTTCCTTATCCGTGAGTTTAGACCTATCTCATAATCAGTTGATAGGCCCCCTTCCCTCTGAAGTGGGCAGGTTAGTGAACCTAGGATATCTAGATGTTTCACATAACAGGTTATCAGGTGAAATTCCTGGAAGTCTTGGAAGCTGCATTATGCTAGAATATCTGCATCTGGAGGGGAACTTTTTGCAAGGGTCTATTCCGGAGCTTTTGGGTTCTTTGAGAGCACTTCAATATCTTAATCTCTCTTACAATAACTTGACTGGCCAAATTCCAAGGTTTTTGGCAGACTTCCAGTTGTTGCAGCGTCTGGATATTTCATTTAATCACCTCGAAGGTGAGATGCCTACACAAGGAGTTTTCGGGAATGTAAGCGCAGTCTCAGTTTTGGGAAACGATAAGCTTTGTGGAGGAATATCTCAGTTGAATTTGTCCAGATGCACGTCCAATGAGTTGAGAAAACCAAAATTTTCTACCAAGTTGAAGCTGGTAATTTCAATTCCATGTGGCTTTATCATTGCACTCTTTCTGATCTCTTCTCTGCTTATCTATTCCTGGAGAAAAACAAAAAATGAGCCTGCTTCTGGAGCTTCATGGGAGGTCTCATTTCGGAGAGTGACTTACGAAGAACTCTATCAAGCAACTGGTGGCTTTTCCTCATCCAATTTGATTGGTGGAGGTAGTTTCGGGTCTGTGTACAAAGCAATTCTCGCACCTGATGAAATGATTGTCGCAGTGAAAGTATTCAACCTGCTACGCAAAGGAGCTTCCAAAAGCTATATGGCAGAGTGTGCAGCATTGACAAACATCAGGCACCGAAACCTTGTCAAAATTTTAACTGCATGTTCAAGCCTTGATTTTCAAGGCAATGATTTTAAAGCTCTGGTTTATGAATTCATGGTCAATGGGAGCCTGGAAGAGTGGCTGCATCCAGTTCATACATCAGACGAGGAACGCGAGCAAGGAAACCTGAATCTGATTCAGAGGTTAAACATTGCAATTGATGTAGCTAGTGCCCTTGATTATTTGCACTACCACTGTCAGATGGCTGTTGTTCACTGTGATTTGAAGCCTAGCAATGTTCTTCTTGATGGTGATATGACTGCTCATGTTGGAGACTTTGGATTAGCAAGATTCCGTCCAGAAGCTTCAGTTCAATTATCATCAAATCAGAACAGCTCTATTGGTTTAAAAGGCACTGTTGGCTATGCTGCCCCAGGTAATGCCAGACAGATTTTACATGATTTATTTTAGTTTTAAGTGATTAGAATAATATTCCATTGGCTTGCATTGACGAATTGATATAACTATTTTCCACATGATAACAATTATTTCTGCCAAAGTCATAAACATCCCTGCACATTTCAGCGTCCTGAAATGCTTAAAGAAGCAGTAAAATTAGTGTCATTTTATTACTAGTTTTCAGGTTTGTTAACAACCATGCGTATAAATTTTAGAGTACGGTATTGGAAACGAGGTGTCAACTTGTGGGGATGTGTACAGCTACGGCATCCTGTTGTTGGAGATACTTACCGGAAAGACGCCAACAGATGGCTCGTTTAAAGAGGGGCTGAACCTGCACAAGTATGTTAAAATGGCGTTGCCTGACCATGTGGTGGAGGTTGTCGATCCCATACTTTTGAGAGAAGCTAATTCTTCTGATGGGATGAAGCATATTGGAAATGACAAAGTTCTGGAGTGCTTGGTTTCAATTATGGAGGTAGGAGTTTCGTGTTCGGAAGATTTGCCAAGAGAGAGGACAAACATTAGCAATGTCGTGGCTGAACTGCACCGAATTAGGGGCATTCTCATGGGAACTAGGAGGCATGGATAGGGTGATATCCTCGTCTCAGCGGATGGTAAAGCCTTGTCATTGTATTGATATTCATTCTAAGATTATTCACAACCAGACTTACCAATGATCCTTTAAATTGATTGCTACTTCACACTCTGTAGATGACCGAGGTGATCAAAGTAGAAAATGAGGGTTGTTCAACAGGCCAGAGGGAGCAGAGGTGCCTGTTTCCTGGAGTAGAATAAAACTGCAAGTGCACGCTGGCCATCTATAAACACTAGCCTTATTTTGTATGCTTCCATATCTTTGTTTCCTCGGGGACTTTAATATTATGTGTAATAGAAGTCTGAACCTGCAGCTGTGAATTTATTGTCTGCAATAAACAGGTCGGTTTCTTCACCATTCTTACAATCCATTCTTACATTTCAATTTCTGTCAACGTGAGGAGGAAATTTATGTTGAGGATGAGGATGATCATGTTTCTATGTGCCTTTTCGTTCAAGGACCTGAATATGTGTGATAGAAGTGAGGGCTTGCACTCTCATTTCCTTATTTTTCTTGCTATTAGTTACATCTAATATATAATTAAAAGATCAAAATGGAGGAAAGCAGAATTGACAGTAACGAAGCCACCTCTCTTCTTTGCTAAAGGTTTCGTTTGCATTCGAGCTCATTCAAACAGGTATTTGCTTTCTTGTTTTTCTCTTCACCGTCGCTCTCTCCCCGGCACCATCCGTGGTTTTCTTGGTCACCCGTTGAAGCCCAAGAACTTTAATAGCAGTCGATAACCCTGTGTTGTTTAAATCTGTGGACTGGGTTCAAAACCTGTGGGCGTGTCAGGCCCATTCTGGAGTCCAGCTCTATAGACATCTAGGCTTCTGCAGCATTAAACCTAACAAAATACTGTTTTATAAAAAATTAACTTTCCAGGCTCGGTCCCTACTCTGGATTCGGGATACAAGATCATTGAGTTGTTAGATTAACTATGACTATTAAAAATACTCGGATTAATCGTTTATTTATTAAAATAATTTTTTTGAAAAAAATGATTGATTATGTTTGGTAGGATCAATTAAACTAGGAGCATTGATATATTTTTTAATTAAAATTAAAATCTAGTTTAAATTAGATTTTAAATCATAAATTTAATGTATTACTTGCCGAACGAACTAAGTTTAATAACTGGAAGATTATTTTTAGTTGCAAGATTTATAGGATTTAAATCTTCCAGACTTTTCGGAGGTTATTTAACCACAGCCATGAGCAAGCCAAATAAACTCTATGGAGGAATATCTCATCAGCTGAATCTGTTCAGGTGAACATCCAATTAACTATTAACTAAAAAACTGAACAGCATGGGTGTTTTACGGTCCCTTAATCCACAGTAAAATGAATTTCAGGTTACTAAAATTATTATTTTACCATTCACCCTTTAATTTATAAAGCTTTATTTTATGGGTCAAAAATCTTCACACTATCAATTTATTATTCTTTATTTGTTCAGAGCACTGATATTTTTTTATTTTTTTAATAGTACAATTACCATAATATTTTTAAAAATTTAACAATAAAATTTTTTGGTACATTTAATAAATAGATGAATTACTCCATTTTCCTTACTATTTAAATTGGTCTAGGGGTTTGATTATAACTTCATAATAGTTTTATTATTATTCTTGTTATTTATTACTAGGAGTTTTTTTTTACAAATTAATTAATAATATAATTACTATATTACCCTTGTTGTTCAATGTTTTCATCCGACTTAAGTGACTTGTAATTTTATAATGGTATTTTTCATTATTATTATTTAGCATTGGGGTATTTTTTTTATACAAATACAAAAACAAAAAGTTATAAATACGTGTCTTGCATATGTTAGGATGTTAACCTCTCCATCATATTTAGACGGCGTGTATAACTGATTACAATGATAATAATTATGATATCATCATATTATTTGATTTGTCATGATATCATATTTTCTTTCGAATGACGTGTGTATTATAGTTAAGTATGATTTGATGTCAATTTTCTTTTCTTTTCCTTTTCTGTTTTATTGGATTCTGTGACGGCCATGCAAATAATTATATTAGCCCTTCAATTTTATTTTTTTTTGATTTAGTCCTTTTCCTTTTAATTATAATTATTTTATTTACAATGATTATTTATAATTGAATTTGATTCTTGATTTCATCCCTAGCAGTTTGATTATGTTGTTTTTAATTAAATTTTGTCCTTATTCTTTTAATTATTTTTCTAGTTATTTTCTTAATTAATTTTTTTTCAATTCTATTCATAAACATTTATTTTTCATTTAATTTTTATGTCAAATTTGGTCCTAGTTATTTTAATTATTTTTTTAATTTTATCCCTAAACATTTTATTTTCCCCACAAACATTTAATTTCACTGATGTTTTTTTATTGAATTTAGTTCTAGTTTTTTTAATTGTTATTTATTTTATTTTCCATTGTTATTTTTAATGATTTTTTATCTCAATTTTATCTTTTTAATGCTTGTATGATTAAGAATCTTGTTTCTTGGCTTTTCTGGGGTTGCATGTAATGGGGTAATTCTGATATCATGACTTTAATCATAAATTTAAAAGATTTATTTGAGTCGATTTTGATCTATTTTAAAAGTGTTTTTTTTCAATGTTTTTTTTTGCTTTTCTATTCATGGGGTCATCTCAATTTTATATCCTAGTTCACGTGTTTGATTTATTGACCTGAGTTTATTATTGGGTTTGCTTGGTGTTTTTTTAATATTTTTTAATTGTATCGTGATGTGTTCATTCCTTATACTTTGATGATGTATTTAGCCATGCATAATATTTTTTTTATAATGTGGGTTTATTAAATCAATTTTATTTGTATTTACTATTTAATTCATGAGCATTTTAAAGTGAATTTATCTTTTATTTATTTAAATAAATAAGCTTAGTAAGCACAATCGGTTAAATATTTTGTTTTTATAATTTTTTTTATTTTAACTACTTTTTTACATAAATAATTATTAATTTATTTAGTTAGATAATTGAATAAACTTTTCAATTTATACTTTAAATTTTTCAAGAAAAAAAAAATTAAAGCAACCTTCATAATCAATATTTTCTTAAAAACATTATAACCCATGAAAAAACGGGAGTTAAATGGCCAGCAAATCAACAATGCTGAAAACTTCTACCAATATCATTTTGATAATCGCAATACCTTGTGGTGTTTCTTGGAGCAGCGTTAATGATCTCTTATCTATAGTTATTTTTTCTTGAGAAAAAAGAAAAGAAAAGATACGCCTATTTCCGGAGTCTTCATGGCAGATCTCATCTCGAAGAGCAGCCCACAAAAATCTTCTACAAGCAACCAAAAGGAAGAAAAAATAGAAAAAGCAAACGCCCACCGTGGGGCTCGAACCCACGACCACAAGGTTAAGAGCCTTGCGCTCTACCAACTGAGCTAGACGGGCTTCTTGTGTTTAAAATTTCTTCTTGTAAATTTTATCTAATTTATGCAATTTCTCCCCATCTGATTTTTGCCAGTTAATTACTCGCACAATAATGTATCCATAGCTAGTTTCTTTTAAAAATAATAATTATTTTTTCATTTAAATTTATTTTTTATTTCATGTCTACAAAATAATTAAACTTATAAATAAAAAATAGGGTTGAATTATATGTAAAAAATAAATTATTATAATATTAAATTATACTTTTCTGAGTTAGAGATATTAAATATGATTGAACATTCCCTTCGTAATAAAATTAAGTTTAAATGGATAAACCAGAAAAAATAAAATAAGATCAAATAAGAGATTAAAAATATTTTTCATTAACAAAACAATTGAAATTCATGGTTTAAAATATGTTTTAACTTTCATTGTTATAAAAAAAGTTCTTTAAATAAACAAGAATCGCATTAGAGATGTTAACTAATTAATGAACATGGATAGGTTAGAGGGAAAAAACTAATTAGAGCTAGCGTATATCTTTAACTTGTAACTCTTTGACTAATGATTAGTTATATAATTAAATAAATATTTATGTATTTTTCATGTGAGATATTTGTTTTGGGCAGTTGATTTTATGCTTGGTAGCTAGAAGCATTCACGATTTGTTTTAGGTATGGGTACAAACTATGGAAATTTATAAAATAAAAACTGTGATGCTACGAGGGGTATTTTGAGAATTACATTTTTTTTGGATTGAATTTAATTAGCAAATAGTATTATTATTTTTTATTTCTTATTCTTCAGGATTTCATGATGCAGTGTATTTTGGTCACATTCTACAGCAAATTTAAAACAATGCAAAAATCAAAAGAAATCAAAGGGGTAAGAGAGCCCGAAAAACAACGTTAAATTATTTTCATGGAATTGTTTATGCTGCTGGTTTTAAACTGGGGCTTCCCGACAATGATATTTTTCGTTGTATTGGAGATGCTTTCTAGGTGTTTGATGATTTGTCTGGACGTAAAAAATACCATGTCTTTCACATACAACAACACCAAAAGAGAGTTAACTTGTGTTTTCAACGGAGAATGAAGCTAGCAGAATTGCAAGCAGCCTCTAATTTTCACAATTTAGAAATTTAAATGAATTCTTTCCCAGCATGAACTGCGGGGTGATCTGTGAAGATCGGGGAGGAAGCACTGTGGAGATGATGATATTTAATTGTTTTAATTATTGCAAGATGATGTCATTCACTGTTTCACATAGCGTTTCATTATTATTTTCGGACATAAAAGATATATAGAAATTGTATCTTTATTTTGAAAAAAAATACATTTTATTTTTAAAATTATTTAGAGATAGATTTATTTTATAATTTTAATTAAATTTATTTTTATTCTTTATATATATATATATATATATCTTCTATTATGTTACACTAATAAAATATCATTTATTTGATTAATTACATTCACGTAAGCACTGGAAATTAATACTGAAGACAAGAATTAATAATAAGTTATACAAAATTCAATTTATATTAACTTTCTTGCTTAGATAAACAAAGAATTGCATGTAAAATAAATGAATCAAAGACTGTTATCCACTGCTTTTAGTTCAGGCATAGTTGCAAAGGCCAAGAACACATAAGTTCCCATTGCCGCAGCTATTGTTGCAAGCCCCGCAATGTCTCCTATTGAACGATGGATTCACACACTTTCCATTACAGCATATCTCATTATACCTGCACTTCTTCCCACATAAGCCGCAATTTAGACGATCGGCTAACACATTAACACACTTCTTCTTGCAGCAATGAGGTCCTGGGCTTCCCTTGGCGTGACAAATCCTAGGGAACTTATTACAAGTTAGTCCTCGATTTTTCGGTTTCTTGTGATGAGCAAGAAAGCGGCTAACACCTCTATTTTGGCGAGGAGAAAAGCTTTCTATCACTTCGTTGTCAATATTATAGTGAACTTGATCTTCCTCGAGTGGAAATGAAGCAATGTCGAGGACAAGAGATGTGATGATGATAAGAACAAAGAAAATGTGCAGGAACTTCATCTTGAGAGAGGAGACCAGGAGATGTTGATTGGGTTAGCGTTCGAATGGAAGAACAACACTCGGATGAGGGATCGAGAAGGATGATATGAGAGGCGGGATTTATAAGGGAGAGGCTTTGAATTCGGCATGTTTCATGTTACTTCGTAAGTGGAGCGGTCCAAATCCAACCCTATTAAACAATGAAAAGGTAGAAACCCTTTATTCCATTAAGGCATGGTCTTCTTCCTGTTCATATATATATATATATATATATATATAGAGAGAGAGAGAGAGAGAGAGAGAGAGTACAATAGTTAGGCAAAGCATGGTTCTCGTTCCTGAATTCACACGTATAGTAGTAGTAAACAAGGAATGCTTTGTTTAATTAATATAATGAGCCTTTATTACACGGTTTAAGTAGTCAACAGTATAAAATATATTGTCAAAAATTAAGAGCACGAGTCAATTCCTGATAAAAAATAAATAAAGAAATAAAGCGCAGATTAATTAATGCTCGTTTTAAGAAATCAGAAAACGTGAGCAAAATCTCTATTAAAAATATCATGGAGAAGAAGCAGAGATTGTTAGTTTGCAAAATGTGTAAAACCACGTACCTGCCTAAATGAACAAATAAATAAACAAATAAATTACTGGTACAGCATCAAAATCCCGATTTGTGAAAAAAATAATATATGGGAGCTGAGCTGTAGGAGTGCACGAACAGAATATCTTTTGGACCAGATATATTATCTTGGGCCGATGAGCTGTAAATTCTGGATCTGGGCCTCGTGAGATGTGAACTCTCTTTGCTGTGGAAAAATAAAAGAAGTCCAAGGAATTCGGAAGCCCATTATGATACCAGAACCCAGTCCATATAAGTCAGGACAAACCCACTAAGAGCTATCCGATATCCACGTGGCCTATGACAATTTGATTTAGGAATGGCGATTATTACAGTTATGTTCTGTTCGTGCACTGCTACAGTGTGTGTATTAATTTATTTTTATGTTTAATTATAACTAATACGTGGATATCATGAATAGAATATATATTTTTAATTCTTATTCAATAAATAATAAACATAATAGAGATATAATAGAAACTAAAATCATAAATATTCATTAACATTCCTAATTTTATAAGAAATTTTATTCTCAAGCTAACAAAATATCGGAGTGTGCAATTATCAGTTATGTTTTTTCTCCTTTTTTCCCCCTGTTCTTGTTAATCTTAGCATAACAAAGTCTGTGATAAATTTGGGGCGTCTCCTTAATTGAATCCACAATCTCAATTGGATCCCTAATCTACAAAAGATTTCACAATTTGACCCTTCCACCATCAAATGTGCCTGAGCCTCTTCTCAATTTGGTGCCCAGCCTGTAGGCAAATTTAGGCATATTGGTCGAGGGAAGGATCGAATTAAGGTGAAAGATTGGGGACCAGATTACACAAAACACAGGTTCGGGATCAAATTAGAAAAAACTTATAGATTGGATACTAATTTGAGGTCATCCCTAATGAATTATTTATTTATTTTCATGGCTTGCAAGTCACAACATGACAAAGGCACCGGAATCCCACGACCTTTTCTTTTTCCTTAACAAAGTCGAACGGGATGAAAACTACTGTACCCTTCAGCCTCATACAGGTCACCTCACTTGTCAAAATCTAAACAAGCACCGTCAAATCTTAAGAACTTATGATGATCCAACGGTAAATAAATTCTCAGAAACCCGACTCAAGTTTGACCAATGGACAAACCCAGAGTCAAAGTTAAGTCAGGTAACTCGAGTCATATATAAGAAGAGCCTCTCTCCAATAAATATGTAAGAAAAAAAAACCAACCAAGCTCTGTCTCTCTTTCTTGTCTAGCCATGGCTGACAACGGCCATGGCAACAGTTACTTATCTTTTGGTTCAACAACCAGACAAGAAAACATCGGTACAATGCTAGCGTCTTTACGTATCGAAATTCGACCACAAGAACAAGGTGGAAGAGATGTTCCATTTATGTTTCGTTCTTCCAGATCATCAACCACTTATGGTGATGGTGATAGTGATCAGAGTACTCCGATGGTGATTGACAGTGAATCTGTAGAAGGAGGAGAAAGAGGAAGCAATGAAAGAAGAATAGAAGAGAGAGATGGGTTTTCTTTTACAAGGAAAGAGAATGAGGCTTCTGTTGAAGAAGCAAAGAGAAGAGAAGATATAGTGAAGGAATATGATTTGGATGGATTGAATTGTGCTATTTGTATGGAGCCTTGGAGATCTGAAGGTGATCATCAAGTCAGGTTAGAAAAAGCAACTGATCATGATTTTACAAAGGTTGTTCTTTAAGCCTTCAAAATCTGTGGAGATCCCCCCCCCCCCAAAAATGCACAAAGTAATCAGTGACCATGTTCTTGAATTTATGATTAATGATTGTCAACTGAAGATGATTAATGATTAATTTCTGGGTTTTCTTGGAATGTGAACTTTGTTTCAAATATGTGGTACATGAAGCAATTAAACTGCAGATAATTGTGATGAATGCTAAATTATGTTGTTATCTTGAAAAATGAGTTCATATTTCTACTTTTTCACCTTTATTTCATAGTTTATTTTGATTGCTGCTTAATGTATTTTGCCCAGTCATCTAACTTGAATGATTAAATGCGGCAGCTGCCTTCCTTGTGGACATTTGTACGGTTTTTCTTGCATTTGTAAATGGCTTCAACGACCGGTGCCTACTACGAAAGTATACTCCTGTCATCTACTGAAAAGTTTATGGAAGCTGTCATTTATCTCTTTCTTGATCCATTGGTGTGTTTCTTCTTCGTAGTGTCCTCAATGCAATGCAAAGTGCAAATTCAAGGATATTAGAAAGCTATATACAACACCAGTGGTAGTTATTGATGAAGGGCTACAAAAGGTTGTACTCGGGCATTGTCTTTTGGTATTGACATTTTTTTCTGTGTAAATATGTAGAAATATAAACTAAATAAAGATTTATCTTTCTGCAGAAAGTTGAATCACTTGAGAATGAAATTGGCTCCCTTAAGACAGAGGTAAGATAATTAATGACGATGGTTATGATATACAAAATACTCTATTTTGTTTTTGGATGTTTGTTCTAGTTTGTCTGTTACAAGAACAACAACTGATATTCTATAATTTCCCCACTTTTATATGCAGAAATCTGATTTGCTTGATATACAAGATAACTTGCTCGAAATACAAGATAATTTGCTCAAGTTATTACGCAAACTCAAGGAAGTATGATCTACTTTGATGGCATACTGCTTAATCTTTTTAATTAGAATTTCAGAAATTGTACAGATATTTCTAAAGAATATGGGGTAGTCAGATAGTCGATAAAGAGTCAGTTACGGTTATGGGCCTCTAGTCATTGAGAAAATCTTGTTGTCTTCCAATTGAAATCTTTAACTGTGATTTTTAATTCCTGGATCTGATTCTCGTGGCTTAAGTCCTGAATGCTCCAAGATCTTAAAAATCAGTTCCTTTTTATGATATGAAAAGTAATAACGCCGTGTTATCTCTTTCCTATCTTAATTTCCTGGGTGCATCACACTGTTGTTTTCTGTTGGAAGTTAACTTTCCCTAAAAATATTAAATATATAAACAATAGTTTTCAATGACAAATGTTAAAGATGTCATCTTAAATTCCTACTTATTATGGTATTGAGTTTCTTAATGATCTACTTTCTTTTAAAACTATCAATAACTTTCTCCTAGCAGCCATGCTCTCTTGATGCATCAAACTTTTTCTGATTCGAGCATGCTGTATCCTTACATAGTAGCTTGTCTTAGTTTCTTATAAGGCTTTTCTCATTCTCTCTTTTTCTGTCCTAACGGGCTTGATTTTGGTTTTCCAGAAACCAGCTTGTACAGAGAACACATCATTTGAGCAGATGGGAAGTAAACCTCATCAATTCTTTAATCCAAAAGAAGCTCAGGGTGCACAATCTGGAAATCTCTCTGCATGATTAACTTAATGAATATGATTGCAGTTCATATATTTTTCATTTTCATCTCTGTTGGCTTCCTTGTTCAATCAAACTAAGATTTCATATCTTTTTGTGCAGTTCATCTTTATATTGAGTGTTTTGATTGACTAATCCATTGCCTGATAACCACATTCATATGGAAGTTTGTTGCTAAGTAATAGGAGACATGGCTGAGTTATGTAGTTAAAATTGCATGACAATTCAAAAATATACAATAGGAGTTGTGAAAATGCAGATGTACAACCAGTAAGAGATTTACTAGTAAAATGTGGATTTAAAAAACTTAAAACGTGGATTACAAGTAGTAAAGATTCATTTTTCAGTCTAATTGTATGATTTCTCCCAAGCATTTTACAAACATTGTGAATTTTAGCTTCCAAAGCAGGTACACATATATATTACCTTCTTGATATCTGGTTTTTACCATCTTTAGTTGTAGAAGGTTTCCAAAGCATTGTGAATTGAATCATTCATGTGAAATAATGCAACCTTCCTATTCCTTGATATTTACAAACAAATCGTATGTGTGTTTTACTGATCTGGAAGAAATCTGCTATTCTTCAATGAATCTGATATTCTAGTGTGTGACAACATGACAGAATTAGAGGTTGATTTTAATTGCTGTTATTCGATAATGCAGGATTTTCCTGCGGCTCATATTCTTCCAAACAACTCCTCCATTGCAACTTTAAATTACAGGTCTGTTTTTTCTGTTGTTCTTTCCTTATTTTTCTTAAACACGATGGGTTCTTGTTTCAACTATTCTGGAGTTAAATTTTTTCATGTGAGTGTTAGACTGTTAGTGTGAAAGGCTAATTAAGAGTTTGTAATGCAACGGTGATCGTGTGTTCCTAGATAATGTTTGAACATTATATATGACAAAAAAGAATTGGAATGTTATCTGATAGACTTTTACAATATCAGCCCATCAAGTTTTCCCCCATTTTGCTGAATATGTTCACTTAATATGTTCTTTTCTCCCATACATGGTTGTGGGCTTTTAAATCCCATGGTTTCTCTTAGTGTTGTGTTTCAAGTTGTTTCTTTTGTTGAATAGTTGTTAACCTTGACAGCATGAGTTGGCCATAGAAGGTGGAAGGCTGTTTGCCATGGACTTCTCTTATCAAAATCTGATTCTCACTCGAAGAATTGCTGGGATGGGTGGGATGCATATGCTCAACAAGGTAAACTTCTTGGTTGATCAGGGAGAACAGACCTGAGTTTAGTAACATTCACACACATCTGATTTATACTGTTTGAAGCTTGATGGGTTTAAGATTTATTTTTCTACAGGTTAACTTGATTAATCCTCGTGAAAATGAAGATATACAGCTTCCTCCTAGCACCAAAGCTGTCAAGGATATACAAATTTCTCCTTGTGGTAGACTCACCCTTTTGGCTTCACTTGGGAAGAAATTATCAATACTTAGGTGAATCATTGTGCCCTTTTGTTCAGTGAGTTCATTTTTTGGACTTCTTTATTGCAACTAATTGAACTCGGGTTCTTTTTTGTTTTAGCATGGAAAGCAACAATATTGTCGTGACCTATAATCTAAGGGTTTGGCTTCCTTGACTATTTAAATTTTCCCAATTTAACCTTTCTGGGTATTCCTAACCCTACAAGTTGTGTTTCCAGGTCCCAGCTTGGTCATGTTCATGGGATCTAAACAGCCCTCATTATGTGTATGCTGGCTTACAGGTTTGATCCCTAATTGTGTATAGCATTCCATATATTTTAGTGATGTAATTCACAGTATTCAAAAGATTACCATGTTCTTAGTTTTATTGCTTGATATTATTGAGAGAGTGAAAAGTTAGATGGCACCATGCCCCTCCACTTCTAAAATTTTGTTAGGATTCCCGCCTTGAATCATCAGATGAAGCCCTTCTCTTCTCTCTGTTTTCTCTTCCACTTGCTAGACGTCCATCAGATATTTGAGGTATTTGACGTTCTACAACTGCTTCAATGTTATCATTTTTTATTTTATTTTGCAGAATGGCATGCTTTTAGTATTTGACATGCGCGGGACCCTGAATCCTCTGCAGTCCATGGTTGGACCAGTGCCTGGGCCAATTCACACTATGTACCCCCTTACACAAAACCTTGTTCTTGGTTCCAATTCTCAGAAACTGCTTACAGCTTCCTCTTTGGGACTATGCGTCTGGAACACTGATACTGGAAAAAGGTAGTCAACTTGAACTTCATTTTCATAAATAATTTGGATGGCCAGTCCTGACTTGCCTTACTTTTGCTGAAGGCCATTTCTGGTTCCTGGATTTGAAAATCAAGGGATGTGCACTTCACTTGCTTATGGTCCATTAAGCGATGACATTGTTGCTTCATATCATCCCAAATCCAAGAAATCAAATGCTACGGTTAATTCCCAATGTATAGATCCAGATTTATCCCCTTTTCCAGGATCAGCCACACTGTGTTCTCAACTTCTTGTCAAGAGAATATCTGATAGCCATTATCGTAACTTGGGATCTACATCTGCCTATTTAAGCAATGGTCACATGGCAAGGACTGCGATTATAAACATGCAGAATTGCTTCCCCTTGTTTGCCTATGGAGATGAAGCAACCCGAGGATTGAGGCTGAAGGAATTACCAAGTTTCAATGTGACCCAGAATCTTAAACCACATCATCACCCCATCCTTGATGTGAAGTATGCGCATAACCAGGACACAGGTATACTTGGCTCTGTGAGCGAAGACAAACTGCAACTTTTTTCCGCGGACCTGTTGCAAAAGAGGTATTTTTATCTGATGGTAACCCATACTACTGTAACTTTGTTATCTGATGAGCATAGTTCACGGACTCTGTTTATCTTATGCTACCTTTTTCAATGATCAGGTAGAGACTTTTGGAGCACTTTCAAGGTCACTGTTTACAATTTTCTCGATGAGTCACAAGATACAAGAGTAGTGAATCTAAGTATATTCAAGCATATGCGATGTTCATGTAAATAGATAGCCAGTTAGATTGTACATGATGTGTATATTATAGTAGAAGGGATACATACATCTTAGAAAAAAATTTGGTGGGAGAGATTAGCAGAATTAGAACAAGTGCACATTGCAATTGTGCTTGAATGTATCCTGGGATTCAAGCAAGTGGCTTTCGGTTTTGTTTTGTGACTTGACTCCTTGTTTGGTATTTCAGGTGTTTCAAGCATATTTATAAAACTCGGTCCAATGTGACCATTGATTTAATTTTTAAACGGGATTTGTTAAAAAAATTAAAATGATGTTATTTCATTTAAAAAATTAAAAATATTTTTTGGGTTGATTTTTATCCCGAGAGTTGACTCAATTAATTCACAATTCAAGTTTTGGATTGAATTTTATAACTATGATTCAAAGCTCATTTGCTTCTCTCCTTGTGATTTTCTTCTTTTGTTTTTTTAAATGAATCTGGTATGGGATTTAACATGAAAAAACTATGCATTTCCATCTCACGGAGATGTTTTAAAAATGGAAGGAGAGATGATAGACAAATTTATCAACTGTATTCTTCTTCTTCTTTTTTATTTTTCCCTTGAAGCACACGACTCTCTCTTTCTTATTCTTACATTAATTTAAATTAGTACATGCGTAAATACTTCACTGAAATTCACTTGTTAAATGAGATGGTGCATTTAGGGAAGTTAATTAATTTATGAACTCAGTGATGGAGATGATAAAAATTTACCTTGTCATTGCATATCTAGGTCCTTATTGTTTTATAATATGACTTTGACGTTAGGGGCTGACAAATTCTTCTTCTTTTCCCGTTACAATATGGTTCTTTTGACATTATGACGTGCTTTTGCAACTATTTATTGTCCGATGAAATTCAATCACCAGATTGAATGTGCCATGTTTTATCATGTTTAATAGCCTCTGGCCCTTAATGAACAGAATCTCCCAATACACTTGGGCGTTTTAAATGGAAGATCATTCTCTAGAATCTCCTTTTAGGGAGAGTGCCATTGGTGTCATTTTCTTAATATAGGGTAGTCCCAAGTCATTTGATTTCTTATCCAAGTAATTTCTTTAATTTTTATTTCTCATTCATTTTCATTCATGAAATACCAGTCAACTAAAGGGATGCGTTCATCAAAGTTCTGTCTACACTTATTGCTGGAGACACTCCTTCCTCGTTCATCAACTAAAGGCCTTTCGATGCTACCGTTAGCCACTGTGCTCCAATCGTCATGGGTGATCAAATCGAGCTCCCCTGTGAGGATGACATTGACTACAGCCAATTCTCAATTTTCTTCTCTATAAACGAGGCAATACAACCAGGCTACATGGTTAATCAGCTCAGGCAATTAACGAAGGACAGATGGATTAAAAAGGCAGTTAAATCTTCCCATCACTTTAAACCCCCCCCCCCCCCAATGTTATGGAAGCAGGTAAAGCACAAGCTTCCATGGATTCAACTTGCTGTACATAGAAAGAGGCGAATGAAAGTTCCAGACTGGTGGCGACGAAGAAGATGGTTCCGGAGCTTTCTTACACAACACTGTACATTCACAATATTTTTTTCATCGCGCACATTGATAACCCTTCACGGGAATAATCTGAGGCAGTTGCAATCACCACCTGTCATCTGCCATTATACAGAATCACGATATGTTCACTTTGACTAATCAGCATCATATCAAAGAAGGTCCCTTTTGAAGATGAAGACGGGCAGCAATGCATCGTTGCCTGTGTGATATTCTTTTATTCAGTCCCAACAGTTCAAATGTGAGTTCTGATTGTGGAATGACCCACCGCTATAGGCATCCAGAATTTAGCAGGCAACCGTTTTTGATCTGTTGTACTTGTTCTTCTTGATGTTTGTAATTTATTTAATGGAAGAAATGAAACCTTCCATTCACGAGAAGTTATCTGGCAGAAATTTGTGTTTCTTTCTTTTCAAGTTTCATTTTATTTTAATTCAATAGTTTTTTTCATAGCTTTGCGATGTCAGGCTGCGTATTACTTTTGCAGTGAGCAGTGAAGTGATGGAGAATTGCTTCCTGTTGTTTGTCTGTAGAACCTGGAACCGCATCATCACCTGATCGATGACGCTAAGCATCTTCTAACGAGGGCACAGGAATATTTAGAATCTCACGGGCCTTGAAGTTAACAACCATGTAAGCTTTCAGTGATCATCATATGAGCAACCAAGGACTCAAACCTGAAATCATAGAGGGAACAAACCCCTTGATCCCAAATCCTTATCACTTGGACACCATCTAGATGGTTCAGATATGTATTGTTTATAAAACAAGATGTTGCTTATTGTCACGTACCGAAGAGGTGTTCAGGACAGAGCAGACAAAACTTGTACCTTTTCTGCAAAATTCGATGCTAGATATGTATTGTTTTTTTTAGATTAATGTAGGTGTTCGGGCCAGCTTACGCGCATCACAACTAATCCTACAGGCTCTAAAGTTAAAAACCATGGAAGCCTCCAGTAGCCATCGTCTGAGCAACCAAGAACTCGAACCTGAGATCACAAAGGAAACAAATCCCTTGATCTCAAATCTTTACCACTTGACCACCACCTAGATGGTTCAGATATGTATTGTTCATGAAACAAGATGTTGCTTATTGTAACGTACCGAAGAGGTGTTCAGGACAGAGCAGGGGAAGAAAATGCGTGCATGATCTGGAAGCGTCAAAGCATTTTAAGTTGCATAAGATGATGAAATTTGGAAACCAAAAGGCTCTGGTCCTCCCATGAGTATCAGATATTCTCCTGGTAAACTACCCAAATGTAATTTTTTCAAGGATTTTAATCTTTTGTAAAGTGTAATTTAAGGAATTTTCAAGGAAAATCGGAAAAAAAAAGGAAAATATTTTCAAATCGTCGAATTTTGACGGGTCAAAAATGAGGGGAGTTTTGAGGAGGCAAAAATTTCCGACCTGCCGGATTCGAACCAGCGACCTAAGGATTACAGAAACAACTACAGTCCTCCGCTCTGCCAACTGAGCTAAGGTCGGTTTATTGTAAGTGGTTCGGGATAGAATATCTAATCAGAAGACACGGTGAGTCCATGTGGCATCAAAGCACTGTTACTTAGGGGTGATGGTTTGTTCAAGCAAAAGGACAAATGAAGATAACCTTCTTTAGTCCTGGAAATCTAATAAACACAGTAACTCGATTCAATTTTACAAGATTTCTTGTCAGTTAAGGTACTAATAAATTGTACATTTTCAATTGCTTGGTGGTGAGGGAATTTTACTTTTTTTCTTTCTTGATTTTTTAATTTTAAATCTTAAAACTAATATTTATGATAAATTTTGTATAGAAAAACTTAATTTTAATTAACAATTAAGTTAGATTCTAAAATACCCTTTCATCAAATAAAAAACATAATAAATGATATAGATGCTAAGACCACAACAAAAAATAAGATATAATTAAATATAAAATAAGTTATTTATTTAACTTTATTTTTGACCATTTTTGACCTGTTTGAGATTATAATAATGATAATAATTTAAAGTATTTATTTTAGAAATATATTAAAATAATTTTTTTATTTTTTAAAATTATTTTTAATATCAAAACGACATAAAAATATATTAAAAAATTATTTAAAAAAAAATTAAATTTTAAAAAACATGATTTTCATTGCATTCCCCAATACGCTTTTTATATATTTAAATAAGTATTTGATATCATGTTGAAGTATAATTTTTGAAAATAATTTTTAATTAAAAATATATTAAATAATTTTTTTATATTTTTAACATTAACATATTAAAATTAGAATTTTTTTCTAAAAGTATCAATTTAATATTTTATATATAAAATTAATTTAAAAAAATACTCTAACAAACAAGTTGTCTTCGAGGGAAAAACAAACACTCATTTGTGTGTTTATTTTAAATGTCGAGATTTAGGTGTGATACCTATTAAAAAAGTTATAAAATATTAAAAAAAATTAATTTTTATAATTAAATTTCATGTATAATTAAAACAATCTAAGTTAACTTTGGTCGGTGCAAGTTTGAAATGACCAAGACACCCATTGATCATACACCTTTCATCGGATTGAGAAGTAGGTGAAGGGCATATCAGTCGCTATGGTACAAAGACAATTTAGCTCAACCACTCCAAATATTCCGAATCAAATCCGCGTCAGCTGGAAAGAGATATTAAAAAGACATTTTTTTTACCCATCAGGGTTTAAAATTAAGGTAAGAATGAGATTGCATTAAATACTAAATAAAAATTAAATAAAAAACTTTAATCTAGAAATAGATAATCCAAGACAGATTTAGTCTTAAATTTTTAATAGGAAAGATGATCTGGAAATATTTATATTTGTTAGAAAAAAATTAAAGCAAAAGAGAGAGAAATTTTGGTGTGTTTTAGGATTGATTACTTATACGATAGACAGATATAAAATGAAAAAAAATATTAAAAAAATATTTTTAAATATTATAGTTATTCCTCGAACAGGCTTGAGCCGGAGAAAATGACTTCTACTTTTAATACAAAGATTATTATATTATTATTACCATACCATGAGCCAACAACTATCAGAAGTCAAAACCGAGCGTTCTCCTTATTTCCTTACCCCTTCTCTTTCTCCCTCTCTAAAATTAACACTTTAGATTCAGCACTAAAAGAATCCAATGCGTTTGTAAAGAATCTGCAGCGAGGTATGGCCCAACCTTTTCTTTCTTTCTTGGTGCAATTCTTTATTGGGTTTTTGATTTCTTTTTGCTTAAGATTACGTTTTTAAACCATAATGGATTTGTTATTTTTAACAAAAAAGAAAAAAAAGATTGGCTAAATGCATGCTTTGTTAAATCTGGGACATGTTTTTGGGTTCTGGATATGGTTTTGAGCTCATGGGGTTTGTTTTTTCAAGTCTTGTGTCTGTTTTGTACGGTCTGCTATGCTTGATTTGTTTTCACATTTTAAGCACCTATTGGATACAGTATTTTTGCTTTTTTTTTTTTGAAAAAAAACAAGAAGAAAACAGGAAGAGCAGTGTAAAAGTAGGGAAACTGTGGCTAATGTAATGAGCAAAAGAAGACTGGCTTTAAGAATGCGAAATTTAGTTAATTGAATGATGCGGTTCTTGAAATCTATTGTGTTAAAGATTATTTGATTTGTAGAACGAGGAATTGCATAGTAGCATGGTGGAATTTGAGTTGAATATTTGGCGCCCAACTTAGTGAATTGTGCAA